ATGATTGTGATGAAGGGCGTCAGAAGGAGTAACTTGTATTATTTGCTTGGGAGCACGGTGATTGATAGAGAGCTGACGACTTCTTTGGCTAGACTATGACATTGTTTGTTGCTGGGATATATGATTGGTTATGTCGTACATAGATTGTTGAGGAGTGCTATGACCTATAGATTGAAGTCCTTTGAGCACGTTGGGATGAGCAAAAAGACCGCGGTGGAGTTTGGCACTTCTATCCATCGATCGAGTGGTCTTATTGGAAGTGTACAGTCAGGCATTGGGGGCCTTCCAAGGAGGCATCATTAGGAGGTAATCGGTATTTTTTTTCCTATATTGAGGATTATACTAGGAATTTATGGGTTGCAACCAAGTCCCGTTGGTATGAAGCCCTAGTAGTCCGCAACAGTTGGAGGAGGTGTAGATCACAAATGCCCTATTGGTGGTATCGGTACCATTCGGATTCGGATGAGTAACGGGATAATTTGGGAGTTGGTTGAAGTGAGGTTCGTTCCTCAATTGAAGAAGAATATCATTTCACTTAGGGCATTGGAGGCAGCTGGCTATAGGGTGATCTTGGCGGATGCACGCTTGAAGGTCACATTAGGGTCCATGATTGTGATGAAGGGCGTCAGAAGGAGTAACTTGTATTATTTGCTTGGGAGCACGGTGATTGATAGAGAGCTGACGACTTCTTTGGCTAGACTATGACATTGTTTGTTGCTGGGATATATGATTGGTTATGTCGTACATAGATTGTTGAGGAGTGCTATGACCTATAGATTGAAGTCCTTTGAGCACGTTGGGATGAGCAAAAAGACCGCGGTGGAGTTTGGCACTTCTATCCATCGATCGAGTGGTCTTATTGGAAGTGTACAGTCAGGCATTGGGGGCCTTCCAAGGAGGCATCATTAGGAGGTAATCGGTATTTTTTTTCCTATATTGAGGATTATACTAGGAATTTATGGGTTGCAACCAAGTCCCGTTGGTATGAAGCCCTAGTAGTCCGCAACAGTTGGAGGAGGTGTATTGACAGAAAGGTTACTCATCGTACTAGTTCTAGTAGGGGTTCTTTCTTACATTTGTGCCGAGCTCATGACAGTTGGAGACACTTCGTAGGAGAGGAGATATTGGGGAGACGAGATGAGATGGCGGATTCGTTGAGCTATTCCTTTCTGGAGAAGGATCGGCGTTGGTTGTCGAGCAGTGGATTTGGTATTTGGGCTTCGACATGTTTGGGTCATCTTATGAGGTTGCCGACTGCTGCATTAAGAGTTGTTAGATCTGGTGGAGCTGTTTCAGACTTTGGGTTGCGTCGGATATTTGGCTACCCAGCACTTGGTCACATCATGGATGTGAGATTGGATTCGATTGCACGATTGGGATTCAGAGGCTCTTTTGGCTATCAGTTGAGAGCTTCTGAGTTTGTTTGGAGCAAGTATGTCACATTGGACTCTCAGCAGGTAGAGAGTGTAGATCAGATCAGTGGGATATCACAGCGGGTGGAGGGTGATGCTACTCTATATTTGGTGGAGATTACTCCACATACTCTAGCTCATTCTATATTATTTGAGATTCCAGCTGAGGTGACACAGCATGGGAGTCATTTGGATTTGGATGCGGATGATGAGTTGGTAGATTCGAGTGCAGCTGGTGGATGTAGCTTGGATATGGCCATTGGGTCACCTCAGGTGAAGGTGTTTGGATCGTGTTAGTTTGGGGTCATTGGTGATGCTATCAGCCGCAGATTGGGTGTTGATGTTGGTGAAGAGTTGAGAACTCTTCTTTTAGATTGAGGGCCTTTGGAGGCCATTTGGGTGAACTACGTGAAGACTTGATTCATCGGGCAAGAGGATATGTAGGCAGTCTTTATGATGTAGCCGATTTGGTGAGTAGACACTGTTATTTTAGGTGAGTGTTCACACTCGCGTATGGGTCTCGACTTGTTGAGGATGGAGTCTGTTGTCATGAGTCTGTTATCATGGCGTACTGGACGCAACAACTGAGGCATTTTGGTGTGGTCAGTGCCGGCTTAATTTTGGAAAAACGTTCGCCGAGGTAAAGAATTGTAGAAATGACGAGCGTATGGAGAAGACCGCTTGGACAGGCATGAGTGTGCTTTTGAGAGTCTGGCGGTCGACCATGGGATTCTGGCGGTCGACCGCATTAGTGCATAGATTGTTTCTGAGCTTCTGGGAGTTAGCGGAAAGTCTCTGGAGTTGGGTCGGTCGACCGTGGCGGTCGACCGCGATGCCTGCGCGGTCGACCATGGCCGTCGACCGCGATGCGGTTTTTGGGTTGAGTCTGTTTCCAGACCCGTTTCGTTTGGGATTTCTATAAATACCCAAAACTCGTTTTAGAGCTTAGTGCAAGAGGGTTTTAGCAGCCATTGAGAGTGATTTTGTGGGCTTCTATTGTTGGAGCATTTGGGAGAGATCAAGAGTGATTTGTTATGGGTTTTTGGTGAGATTTGTAACCCTAGTTGTATCCCCTTGATTTCTAATAGTGAAAACTCCCCCTTCCTTGTTCCGTGGACGTAGGCATTCGCCGAACCACGTTAAAACTGGTGTATCTTGTTTGTGGCATTGATTTGGTGTTTGCTCTTCTCTCTCGACTATTTGGTATTGGATCTCGGCATCGGGGGTTTTACCAACAGAGTTTACCATATAATTCTAGCTATATGATATATTTCATAGAGAAATATCAACACACTAATATCAAGGAGAGAAGAAATTGATCACGGACGCAGACAGATCGAAATGCCACTAATAGTTTTGCTTATTTGTGTCTATATGAAACCTGCGTTATCAAATGATCGTGTTAGCGAACTCACATGGTTCCTCGATCTATAAGGGATAAGCTTCACTAACCCATGATCATTCATGAAAAATTAACTGTGATTGCTTCTCTTATAAGTTATCCCATGTATATCTTTGGTGCATCAAACTAAATATACGGATTTCATCATGAAAGTAATCAACTCCATTGCCTCACATTTCAAACTTATTCCTTTTACTTTGCCGAAAAAGCGTGCTTTTAAGTTTCAACCCCAACAACAGTAGGCACCACCATATCCAAAGCTTGAGAGAATATATATAAGTAGGTAGGCGTGCAAATTTTGTAGCGTGTGGGGACCAAATATACATGTGATTTTGTTGGGATCAATGCATCTCCATGACTTCTAACTATAGTATGATCCACTACTTTAGGAATGAACAAAAGCAAACAAGTTAATTTTGAGACGGTGCAAAGAGGAAGGGAGCGGTTTGGTTTGCTACGGTACAAGAAATGGAGGTATTTTTTCATATATATATATATATAATATATATATATTATTATATATACTATATATTATATATATATATATAGAGGAGATAAGAGAGAGGAGAGAGAGAGAAAAGAAAATGGTATGTTGTACCAAGCACAAGTTGTTGTGCTTGGTAGTGAGTGCGCATATTCCCCTTCCAAACTCATTAAAATCAGAACCCACATTCACTAGGTTAGGGAATTGGTTGGGGAATTGGAATAGAGATGAGATATGACACCACACTACCAAGCACAAAATTTGTTTTTGGTACAAGCATACTCATTTTTCTGCAATAATATATAATATATATGGAACCCACATTTCACATGGGTTAGGATTTGGTTGGAAAATTGCGGAATGAGGGATGAGATATGACACCACACTACCAAGCACCAAAAATTTATGCTGGTACCAGCATACTACATTTTTCTCATATAATTATATATATATATATATATATATATATATATATATATATATATAAACACACACACACACATTTCATTCCATATGATATTTGTTGCAAAGAAATAGTTCAAATCCAAATGTATACTTATGTAGCTACTCTTTTGTAAAGAGCCAGCGTATTTTAAGGTATCGTAGGAATAAAAATAGTGAAACATAATATGTCATCTCTTTATTTTCTGGAAAATTTTGCAACATACGCCATTAGTTTGCTGCCCAGCAAGAAGTGAAGAGAATTGATATATCGAGAGCTCGTCTCCTCGATCTCTTGCCGTGTGAACACAACTCTGATCCTGAGCTCCATCATGGAGCATGACATTTATACACAAAGGAGATGCCTGCTGGCCCAAATTCCACCCATTTGCTGTGGTGATCTTAAAGGCCATTAGGTCATCGGAAAGTGATGGGTAACATGCAATGCAAGTAATGAATGTGCACTCCAGCAGAAGCGCAGATTCTTCGCATGGTGACAGAAGAGAGCTCTCCTGCGTTTACTAGCTAAAATGTGTTCTACGATAAACCCGCCATTATCCGAGGTGAACTTCATTTATCGGTGAAGGATAAATTCCACGAAAACAGATTGCCTTCGGTAGCACTTTATACTTCCTAGTTCATTTACTAGCACTTACCAAGATTGTCAGTAGTAGATAGAAAGATGGATTGCAAGTAACCCACCCCCCAAAAACAAAAAACAAAAAGAAGCGACTCCCCTCTTCGACACGAATTGAGGGAGGCTAAGTGGTAGTACATGAGTTCAGCAGCTGAAGGTATAGATGGAGGAGGTTATGCAATTTACCCGGGATGAAATAGGGTCTTCATGCATAAATACCCGCATCCTATAAACCATGACGATCCGCATCAGGACCATTTTGAGGTCGCACCAAGTTATTAATTTCATGTTTTATGTGAGCACTAAAAGGGCTACTCCGATTTAGCCAGACAATAAGATTCTTATGAAGCTCGAGAATTTGCTATGTATTTTGATGAGAATCGACAACAACTCCAGCATTATCAACCGAATGCTACCGCACAGGACCATAGGTAAAGGAAGAACAACGAAATACAAACCAAACTTCTCCAGCCCCTTTGCTAATTGCGTACTTAAGATAATAATAAAGGAAAAGGGTTTTCAAACGCAAGACGTGGATGCTGACAGTCTCTACTGTCATACGATAGCACCTGGGAAATGGAGATATCACATTCAGTAACTTTCCAAGGCGAACAAATACAAGCAGAAATTCGATAGACAAAGGCATTCGGATATTATATATATTATCGCCAAAATACATGGCATTCTGTAATATGTCCTATAAATACACCCTAACGTTACAAATTTGAGTCATGTGAATGAGAAGTTAGAAATTATGCATGCCTCGAGGAGAACTTGTCACGATGAACTTAATAGACAAACAAATTACGGAGATGTCGATCGATGACTCTGTCTTGTAACAAGCAGAGTGGCTGTTCAAACATCACTCCGTGAGTTGTAAGGAACCCACTTACAGAATTCTATCTTGCAAGTCGTTGATGAAACTGGAGGCTATATTAGTCAATTTCTTTCCCGTCTCTCCAGCGATGTTCTTGAGAGAAGATATATCCTGTGATGCCTATGAATGCCAGCAAACAAGGTCAGTTCTTGGTGAACTATCTTCCAAAGCATCTCATATTTGAAGAGATTCCAGACTTATCTACATCCCACAATTATTCAAACGATGAAACCTGTTATTTTTATATATGGAAAGCATGCCTACTGATGTCTGATTCAGAAAATAATGAGGGAATCTTCTTACACAAGACTCAGTTTTCTGATGTCCATAACACCTTAAGGTGGGTAAGCATTTAGCACAAGGGGGGAAAAGGACGAGAGGCCATTCTAGAAAATACCTGGAAGGAGATTCTGTTTATAAGGTCGGTTGCGGTCAGATCCAGACGAGAATCATCCGTGCCATTACCAAACAGATCAGCACTTGAAATGGATGTTGAACCCTGTACAAAGGTGGTCACTTATCATCGATGGATGCTCAATTAGCAGTTTCATCATTAAAATATCAGGATAAGGCAAGGGTGAAGCTGAATACCATCTCAATTCATAAAATAACCTAAACCCACACAAGTACACAATATAATAAAACACGTATATAAGAGCAGGGATCGCCACGGACAAATATTATGATCTCTGTGATAAACTAAATAAAAGGGAAAATGAATCCCGTGAACCAAAGATGCTCCCTATCAAGCATATAAGATATTTTGTACTGTAAGGACATACCGAATACTTCTGCAATGAGATCTGAGCCTCCCTATCCCCAGGCTTCATCTGATCTCCGAAATATTGGGCGGATGAAATTGATTTTGCATTTGAAAATTTCTGTCTAGCTTCATTAGTTTCCTGGATCTGAAAGAACGAATGGTTACACCTTAAGTTAGGATTCAGAAAACAATAACAGGCATGGCAGTAAATGAATTAAACTGAATGCAGTCATTGAAAGATACTACAATCCATCAATACATCTGTAGTAAATATATCATCATTATCTGGCACATAGTGTAGATATATTAAGAGTAATGGTAATAAGACTACAAAAAACAGGACTGCTCCCATACTTCAGCATCTATGAAATATCTAAATATCCGTACCTTGCCATTTCTATAGGATCAATTGATTTTAAATTCATGTGTCAAATATATCTTAGATAAAGTAATAACCAAGGGATGATTTAATCACATTTCTTTTGATCAAATTGCCTGAAACCAAGTAAAATCAGCATAACAAAGATCAGCAATACTGGAGATGGTGGCGGTGAGCTTCAAATGGAGATGGTGAAGGTGAACTTTAATGAGGAGCTCAAGAGAAGGTGATGTCGTGATGGTGATGGTGATGGTGATGGTGAAGGCGGAGCTTGTTGGAGAAAGATTTGGAGGCAGATTTGGCCGTCAATTTGGTGGTGGGAGGCTGTGGATTTGGCCGAAGGAGCCAGAGTTATGGTTAGGTTTTATTTTCATCTCCAGTTGCAGAAGCGGATATGAGAGAGAGCGAAGAAGCAGAGGGTTTTACTTACGAAAATGGGTCAGGTCGGGTATAATAATATCGTTTTTGTTTTTTGAAAGCGCTTTTAAGCACTAAGCAATGCTTTTACGAGCTTTATGCCGGGCAGAAAGCGCCATGTCAGCTTTCATTGATCCCTTTCAATGAAAACAAAGCGGTGAGGCACCGCTTCCACTTTGTAAAGCGCTTAAGCGGCAGGGCTTCTTTCAACACCGGAATATCTAAGGCCAATCTGCAAGAAAATATTAAGAGAAAGGAACCAAAATCACTCATATGCAGCTAAACAATTCATGATATGACCTATCAAAATAACTCGCATCTTCTTGATCTGGAGCCTTTAAGGAGGCAGCTTAATGCTACATGAAAACAGCAGGTTTTTTATGCCCAAATCAGCTTCTAAGTCATAATCTGGTCAACTTGAGGAACCCATAAAAAAACAACTTTGGGATAAGGTCTGGTCCTCTGACACCTGTTCTGATTCCACCAGTTTGGATCAACCCGCTAATTCCTAGAGGAAGTGACCTCTCTAGAATCCATTCCTTCTATTTCAAGAACTGCTAAAAGGCCAAAATGAATCACCATCTTAATCGATAATCTACTTTCGCATTATTCTCCCTTATAGTTATGTTCACAAATGCACATTAACCATTTAAAGATCAGATGGTCACTATTTGCACAGCATACACCCTTCCTCAACCAAGACTAGCTACAAAGAAAATTGAACCATGTGATCTATTTCATCAATTTCAAAAACTGCTAAAAAACAAAAGGGAAAAAACAACCTAATTGATAATTCAATTCCAAACACTTCTTCAGGTACAGGCATTGTTTTATATTCAGGTACAAGCATTGTTGCCAAAAATCTAGATATCAAAGGCTCATCAACTGTTTGATATTCAGGTACAGGCATTGTTGCCACTTCTTCCATCATCAATTTGAAAAACTACAAAAACCTAATTAAACTAAATCGTTACCGTAATTGATAACCTGTTTCCAATTTCTTCTCCTGCAAATGTAGATCCCAAAGGTGTCTATCATTTGATTGACAAGTAAGCATTGTTTAGACTCCTTCCAGCTTGAAACCTCACAGCAATGCTCTTCACAGCATTATGCCTATGACGCTTTCTTTATGTGCTTAAAAGCCTATACTATGAGGGTCCACCAACATTCAGGTTCAGGGTATGGGATAGAGAGTTCTTGACCATAGGAATATTGATTAGAACAAGAGGAGCAACTTTTAGCTTCTGACATCAATTGGGCATGAATGACTGTCTATGCAGCCAAACATAGTTGAAAAGCATCAACTCTAGTATGTACCAATCAAGTCGCCATTCGTACAATGTCCTAAAAACCATCGTCAGTGTACTTCATTGTGCACTTTTAGTACCACCGAAAGGGTCCAGTTATCAGTATATATCACCACAATACAGTACACACAAAAGAACAATTCACAGCATGAGTCCTGGTCTCCAGAAAAAATTATGTATGCTCTGTTTGTACATTAAAGTTAAAAAGGCATAAGCCTGAAATTATTAGCCTCCTAGAGAGGTGACCGCCGCAAACTCAAGATTTGAGCTGTTAGCATGTAACGTACAAAAAAGCATACAGTTTCTGCAGAATCTCAGATTGATAGAAACTAGAGCAAGTATTATGTACAAAGCAACTTGTCTACACCCCAAGTGGAGTGCATCCATTCAATGTATTGAGGTTAGGATCAATGCGCCCAAGTTGTCATGGAACATCAACATATAATAAGACATTCTTGAACCCCAACATATTAACAGTCAGCAAAGGCATAATAGCGAACAGGGAACTAAGTTCCACAAGAAACTTTAAAGTTGAATGCATATCAATATAATAGTCTATAGATCAATATATTAAAACATGCTGCAAATTTCATGTTAACCAAAGGAACACAAGATTAAAAAAAGTCGACCTAATGCAGTCAAGCTAAATGTCAACTTTCAACTTTATCTGGTAGGCCTGTTGGATACAAAACGATACTTTGAATCCACTTGCTTTTAACTTATCATATCAGAAGTCCAAGACAGAACAAACTGATTGTCAGAAAATGGATATAATCGTTGCAGAAATAAAAGCTGAATACTTTCTCAATCAGAGCATTGATTGTTTATAGGAATTGGTCATAAAGTGAAGTGTGTTGTGAACTTCTAAAAGAAAGCATATGCTCACAATAAAACCAAAATGCAAAGTATCTAACCTTAATAACAAATTTGTAGGTAAGGCAAAAATGGAATGAACAACTGCATGCTACTCAGTAGATCAAGAATATGCTCAACATTAAAGGATAAGATAACAAAGGCCTCACTCATAGATTTCGGTTCTTTTGTATACAAAACAAGTCAACAGAGTTCTGTGTGCTGAAAACCTCTAACAACATCACTATTCAAATTTCAAAGGAAACCCATATACTACAGGGAACAAGTTATGGACCATGTAACCAAAGACTGATTAAATGACGAAAGAGCAGAGTCAAATTCACCTTTCTTCCACAAAATTTGTAGTTTCAGCCCTTTGCATTAGTTAATGCCTATAACTTAATTTCTATTGGTCATTTACAGCTTTCTTAAGCAAAATTTAGAGAACCATCGCCATAAGCTCTGACTCGGTTCTTCATGATATTGAGACTATGTCATTGATACCCAATGACAGAGAAAAGGAAGTTTCATTTTACTTGGGTATAGGAAGGAAAAAATACTTCAGCTATCTGATGCATTCTCCATCTAACAAATGCCAGCTGTCATCCGCCGAACACATGTGGACCATAAAAATTATAAAGACGAAAATAGCTGACCATATACAAGGCTGCAAGCAGTATGAACTATGGGCAACAAAACCTTCAGCCCAAGCTCTTAATTGCATTAAGCTCAAATGACTATATGCATAGGCTAAAGAATACAGGAATAGAAAAAAGAGGGGGGAAAAAAGATAACATGAGTCATGACTAATCTATGCTTAAAGTAATTATTACAAGTGGCATTACCTAAAAACCTGACAACCTAGTAAACCATCTGAATAAGAGTCAGATATCAAATAGAAGTAAAGATTAAATAACAAGAAGAAGCAACTGGGAGATGTTACATATGTAGTAGACAAAACTTAGTTCAGAGTAAGAATGAAAGAAATTCTAAGTTATAAAGTAGTCATGGACCATTCATCATGAATGGTTCATCAGTAATAATCAACTAATATTCATCATATAAGAAGGCGTAAATGCTACCGAGTCTGTTTAAAAAATTAATAAACAAAAAGAGAAACTTAAAAGACAAAATTTAATCATACCTGCACTTTTGATGTGGTAGATGGTTTATTTTGAAACCCACTATCCATCCCAAAGTCCGCAAAGAAGCTTGACGATTTTGGTGGTGCTACATGTCCAATCGCATGTGCACCTCTGGAAGCAGTCTCAGTGCCTGGCTCGACATACTCAAATCTAGAAGGAAAAGATGATCCTTGTGTTGAACTAGGAGTAGCCAAAGAAGTAACAGCTGGTGCTGGTTCTTCAGGCTTCTGGTCATAGAGACTGTCACTTGGCTGCATACATAAAATTTACATTGGTAAGATATTTGTGCTTGAAACGTAGGAATGAAGTGATGTACTTGGGATTGCAAGTGGTAGGTGAAGGCTCTGAAATCTCATGACTTCTCTCAGGCCCCAGCAAGCTACCTTATTCATTTTGATGTTACTTTTCAGGAACCATCATTCTCAAAGCATTTGTAAAACTAAAAATAAATAATATGCATTTGAAATAGTAATCTTCACCAAAGAATGTCCTTCAGATTCCAAGTAGAATCACTGACCTTTGTTGTAAGCTTACGAACGCCAAGGCCCCCAGATTTACTTCCAGCCTTCTTAGACCCTATTGGCTTCTTTGCAGCAACTGCTGAATGAATAGGAGCTTTAGGTGAGCGAGTAACTTCTGATGTTTCATGCTTTTCAATTGATTTGTCTTTCACATTTTCTGGAAGCTTAAGCTCAGGAAGGCCATTGGCTGCTTCTGATGTCTGAGATAGGATGGCATCATCTGCCAAGCTTTTAGCAACTTCTTTAGACAGTATCTGCCTATATAACTCAGCAGCTCTAGATGTATATTTTGCCTCAATTTTACCCCCATCAGTCCATCCATGTTGCTTGAAGAAAACTTGTGCACGGTTGTTTCCTCCAAAAGCCATCATCTTTAACTGCTCCGGACTCCATGAGTCTAGATTTGTGGACCTAAAAGTCACAATAGCAACATTTAACGGATAAACAGCTGAAACTTCCTAAGGCCTACGACAAATGATACTAGACTTCGATGACAATAAAAACACACAGCTCTAACAGCTGCCAATTTTGATTAGGGAAACTGAAACCTTTATGCAAAGGGTAAACATATCAAGTGCTAACTTAAAAAACTATAAATACTTCATAGTGGAACAGGCAGGACATTAAAGAAACAAGATGATGCATAAAACATGCTCAAAGAAGATACATGATAATATCTCAGCTTATCAGGCCTCCTGTAGTGGAACATGCAAGTCTATGCAATAATTAACTATTTGCTCCTGATTTAATGGTCATTGTTAAATTTATGCCAATCCCATAACTCCCAAGTGATATGAGCATATGAGCATACCTCACAAACGTAAGAACAGGATTTGCCTTCAATGAAACAACACTCAGTATTGTTATTTCTGCTTAGTCCACAAGTTTTCTCTAAAACATAAATTGAATAATAACCATAGAAGGTTTCTCAAGATCCACATCACATGACTAATAGAGAAACTCTAAAAGATCCTCAGGAGTCATCACAATTCATAATGTAAAGTGTTTATTAAAAATAAATATGTTTCACTTTGTTCTGTCGTGTACTGATGTGGCCTCGCGAAATTTTCAAGATTGGTCATGGAACAGCATCATTTTCAACACAAAGATGTAGATTAAGAAAGCGTTTGTTTTGCCAGAAACAACCCAAATCCATCATTTTTTTAAATTTACCCCCAAATCTTTATATTTTCCAACTTACGCTCAATTCTAATAGAGTTAGAATTCATATTATACCTCATCTTCTTCCTCATAAATAGTAAAATCGAAAAATTCTTTTGACATTTTATGCACCCACCCTTCAAGCATTTCAACAACATCTTATGGACAAAAGAAGAAAGAAAAGAAAAAAAAAATCCTAAGAACCCTAGTCCAACCTCTAGTTACATTACGTCCAATCCCAAGCTCACCTCTAATGGCCTCATCCTCGTTCATGCCAAGGGAACCCTAGTCATCTCATCCTTGATGTTCCAAAACCCAATACACAATGCTCCTAAAATCCATACCCGCCCATGAACCCTAGTCATCTCATCCTTGATGTTCCAAAACCCAATACACAATGCTCCTAAAATCCATACCCGCATCGCCAACGACCACATCCACATTACAGAAAGACGATCATGGTCAAGTCTGATGTCCTCATCATTGGCGGCATCTCCTCCCATCCTGGGAATCATTTCCACCTAGGCACCTACCTATTAATGGTGAAGGCACTAAAAGAGAGGGAGGTAGGGCGGGAGGGAGAGGGTTTAAGTATTGGGGTTAAAACTGGAAGTAATTCAATTAAGTATATTCGGGGCAATTTGATCATATTTTTAACCAAATTAGCAATATATGGAGGAATATACCCAGTTTATTTTCTAATAGAGAAATTGAGAGGGTACAAGATTTTAAGGTAATAATAGAGAAATTGAGAGGGTACAAGATTTTAAGGTAATAATAGAGAAATTGAGGGGTCCAAGATTTAGCATATGCATTTTGTAACACATGTCAAAAGTTAGTAATATATTTCCTGCATATTACTAGTTTGCAGGCATTCTAATTCCAAAATACACAGATCCATCTAATTAAAAAGTATGTTCTGAAAGAAACACCCAAGATGCCTACAGGTATTATATAGGATTTAAAAAGACCAAGTAAATAATTGGAATAACTGGACTCGTATCTGGAATATCATGGTAACAGGCAATTCACTACTTTCAAATGACCAATACTCTTACAAAAATAAACTCAATTACTAATAATAACATCCTAGTCAATACATCAATGAGAAATCATACTTCCTTTATAGCACGAGTTCGGAAAAATCTTTCAGTAGACAAAAATACCTTGGAATTCAAATATTAATCCATTAAGTAATAGTAAGTTGATAAATTAATGCATTCTCATTGGATATGCATGGTATAAAGATAAGGATATAGTTTAAATTGAAATTTAAACCTGAATGAAATTATTAAATGTCAAATTTATAAATGTATACAACATGAAGGGCATATATGCAAAAACCAAATAAATTAACTAGACAAATAATGTCTGCCCCAAAGGTCGAACCTAGGAACAGGACAGACCTACAAATATACATAATGTGGACGGAATATTTACAAAATCCACCAAACAAATTAAAGAGACGAAAGTCATTCTCAAAATTATAAAAAAAAATTAAAATAAACAGCTACGATCTGAGGACACAACGTGGCAATCTCTCACCGACTAAATTTCAAGTAGTTCACTGTACTGCCTAATTAGTTTCAAATTTTAATTATACTATTATTATTTAAATAAAACTCTATTTACAATTGTTATCCTCTCACATGCAACATCACATACCAATATATAAACTAAAAAATTATAATAATTTCCATAGCACTTTCATCTCCTTCTATAGGTATGTGCCTTTGTTATTATCTTCTTATTAGATTAGATTAAATTATTTTAAAATAATTAATTATATTGTATATTTAATCTTTTTTATATCAAGAAATAGCAACAATTTTCATAGCACTTTCATCTATTTTCTTCTTATTATATTAGATTAGATTATTTTAAAGTAATTAATTATATTATATGTTTGATCTTTTTTTAGATCAGAAATTGCAATAATTTTTATAGCATTTTCATCTCCTTCAATAGGTATGTGCCTTTATTATTTTCTTCTTATTAGATTAGATTATTATATTAGATTAGATTAGATTGTTTAAAAAATATGAATTATGAAATTGTAATAATTTTCACATCACTTTCATCTATTTTCTTCTTATTAGACTAGATTAGATTATTTTAAAGCAATTAATTATGTTATCTATTTGATCTTTTTTCCAGATCATAAAGTTTAATTATACTATTATCATTTAAATAGATATTGTTTGTATAAAAGTCAAAGAGAATCACACATGTATATTAGATCTCAATACCAATTATAATACTTAAATATGAGTGTTGGTTCAAATAAATTTCATGTATAGGCTTAACTTATATGATCCTACTTTAACCGGATTAGATAATTTAAATTTTTTTTACACCCAAACTCTTCCATAAAACCAAAATAGAGTAGCAATGATATGGCTCTATATATCCACAGGACCACAGATATCTTAAAAATGAACGAAGAAAACCACACAAATAAAAATCATATTAATTACCCCCACACACCTACTGTTTTCAAAATTACCCTTCTCCATCTCCATCTCCATCTCCATCTACAATATATCCACATACCCAAATTAAGCCGCTAGAGTTTCCCCCTACCAACTACAACATTGATCAACCCTTCTTTTTCCTTTGTACTTCAATTATATAACATTCATTGTGATGAGGACTCACTTGGGTCCTCTGCTTACCTTGAATGCCCGATAAAAAAATAATGTACTAAGTCTTGTATTTAGTTAATAATGAGATCCTGTCATTATAAACAAATTAAGCAAAGATTAATAACTCTTAAGAATGTACTATGTTCCTTAGCTTCCACCGCAAACTTATTAGTTGTTTATTCCTAACCCCAAGAGATTTCAAAATTAATCTTGAGGGTTGCTTGCATTAAAAAGTTATGTTAGATAGCTCATACAGTCTCTTTTATAGTTTAATACTGTCAACACATTTTGTCTCTAGTACATATCAATTATAAGTAATTATATAATTTGATTGATCCAAGTATATCCCAATATATTTTTGGATTATTGTCTTGTCTTTTGCTCTTTATTATATACTAACATGATATCACAATTGATATAGTTGATGAAAACACTATTGTAAAATTGCCCAGAAAAAAAATAAAGGTGGAGAATGATTGATATCGGTTCAATTAAATATGATGATATTGGTTCAATTAAATATGAAAAAAGAAAGAACAAAGGATAATGTTTTTTTTAATTTTTTATAGTCGAACTTAATTTTTTGAGTAAAATTAGGACCTTTAGAAGGGATTTTCATGCAAAACTTTTAATATGTTTATGTGAATGATTTTATCATAAAAATTATACTAGATTCATCATTAATCTTTAGTATTTATTTTTTATTTTAAGTCCATCAATAATTAACATGTCTTGCAATCTTGTGAAAAGTATGTGCTTTGTGCTGAGCTTATACAAACCATCTTAATATTAAGTATTTGATTATATTTTTATTAACACATCAATAATATATTATTGTATTTTTTAAATTTAACACTACATTTAATGACTAAGACAAACAAATTGGAGATTGATGATTTGATCCGATAAACAAATATGTTACATGAAGTTGATATATACAAATTTAAAAAAATAATGTTGTGTATGCAAATATATAAAAGTATATTGATCCCAGTTTTACACTCAAATCCATTTAATAATTTTTTAAAAAATATTTAAATAAAATTTATGGCAAATGTAATTGTTATAGCCTAAAAATCCACCAAGTGCTAATCTTACTAGGAAAGCCTATACGTGTTCCACCCCTCGTCTAATCAAACAAAATGAGGCCGAGACGACTCAAACTACTCCTATGGCCAACTCTATGGGCCGACAACTTGTGTAACGGAGTCGGCGGTACTTGTCGGCCACCTCACTCGATCGACCCTACGAGCAACCCGCACTCGATCTATTGTATCAGCCGACAACTTGCAAGGCCAACTAAAAAGACGGTGCTTCTCGACCCTTGACCAAACAAATAAAGAGACGGTAGTTACCTCGAACTCATCGCCAGCAGACTACTCTCGCATTAACTGCTATGATAAAATCATCATTACTCTAGTCTCATAGTCTTTATGACTCATCGGACCCAGTCAACTCCAAACACCTGCTATCATTCCCTCATTAAATGGTCGGATGACTCACCTTCTTTCGTGGCCGGCACTTGGAAGGTATCTGCCAACTTAGCAGTCTGGCTAGACTCGGCCGAAGTTACCTTCATACCCCTCTGAACTACTATAAAAGAGAACTACGCTACATGAGGAACTTCAGCTTTTTGGCGACTTTGAATAACTACCTATACAATTTGTCTTTCATTTTCCCACTCAAGATCAAGATACTGACTTGATCGTCAGAGGAATAACCGGAGAACCCAATTCCGACCTCTTACGAGTTTTTTATGTGCATGGAAGAACAGCGGGCTCGAAAACCAGTCATCTGAAGGAGTTTGAGGACCCTAAACACTCTCATAACTCTAATATAAACCCCATGTTTGATAACTGACATCAACAGTAATAGTCCATGTTTATAGATTTTAACTCAAAAAGAATCTGACTTATTTTATAGTAAGAAAATAAAAAAAATAAAAAAAAATGATATTTAACCACGCTCATCGGTTCAATTACGATAGCATAAGAACTAGTCATTTCTAATAGCTACCAGCCACCAAGTGAGCAATAATTTCCTCCTATATAGAAGAATCTACATAGCATAAACCTAGGTGGAAATTTATTGAAGGCATAAGCTAAATTTGTGTTTTGAGCCAAATTGAAATCATTTCAAGCTGCTGCTGAATTAATGATTTCATGAAACAGCAGGTCACACTAGGAAGCTGGAAGGTTAGTAGAGATGTTAAGAGAGTAGTACATTGCATTTAATGATCCTACCATTAACTAGAAACCATAGAAAGATTCCACATATTTAAGAAACATAGGATAGAAAATATAGGAAAACAAAGTTCCAACATTAGTTAGAGAAATTATATTATTAACAAAGCCAAGGGACATCATCAGTTTTGATAAAACAATAGCTTAATGTTGTAGGTTGTTAAGAGGCAAAGAAAGCAAAACCTATTAGGACATTTCAGGTTTTTGGACTGGCTCATAATTAAGAAAGTTTAAGGAAGTATCTTTGGAAGCAGAATTTGAAGTTCCATCACCATAGAGCCCTTGATTCCCTATTTGAACTCTTCAATGTGTAGCTAGGTTTCTAGAACAGCTTTAAGAGAGCATCATCAATTTTTCGTACATTTGTATAATGTTGCATTCAACTGTAATTACATACCATGTTATTGCAGCATCCTTATTCGAAATACAAATGGCCCATGACTGGTCCATGATCTTATAGAATGACTTCACGCATCATTAGCTAAAGTCGTTATGTGATGAATTATGTTATTCCCAACATTTGTTTAGTTACGCAACCTCCAAAACACTTAAAACAAAAAAAAAAGTAACAATGCAACATGTACATGTTTTCCAGTAGAAACATGAAAATATGAAATACAGATCTTTCTAGTTGTTGCCCGTAGAATTTATGTATACGTTACATGACAAGACATGAAACATAAATGGAGTAAGATGAGTATATTCCAGTAGAAACATGAAACTATGAAATACAGATCTTTCTAGTTGTTGCCTGTAGAATTTATGTCTAAATTACATGACAAAAGATGTGAAACATAAATGGAGTAAGATGAGTATAACACCATCCTAGGGACTGCTAGAGCACAAGATTTGAAACTGGTTTTTCCCTTTTCTTTGTGGATATGCAATTGCTCTAAACAGAGATGTAATCTGGAAAACATTCAGGAAGCAGACTACAACTTTTGGTAAAGACTGTGCCATGGTTGTGTCTGCCGCATTTTATTGTGCTGCTGGAAATTTCAGTTTGGCAATACAGGACAAGACTTTCATTTTAATTTCAACTTACATTACAAGCATATCGAACCGAATAATGAGAAATCAGCCAATTATCAAAGCCAACCACCCAAAATCTTGAGAAAAGGTAAACACAGCAAGCCTTTGCAGTAAGAATTCTCCATGCAGTATGTGTGTGCTTGCATGCATGAGCAGAAAGAATTTGGTTCTTAGGAGCCCAAGTATGATGTGTGCATCGTGCATATTCATCCATTTTCACAAGTATATCTCTGCGGCATTGGATTGTAATTATACCCAAGAAACTAGAGGTTTGGTCCGAATCAGCTCTACCAAAGCTCCTTCAAGATCATCTAATAACCTAGATAAACAAGCTTTAAAAAAAAATTGTGCATGCAAATTCTTCAACGCGCATGAGCAGAAACATGCTCGAATCATTTTGGGAACAACAAGCTAGATGAAGAGGCTCGCTAAGCCCAGCACTAGATTGGAATCATACAAATGTTTGTTTTTATATTTATATTTTCAGAACTATGTCGTGTTGATATTCTTACTGAAACATGGGCGTGTCAATGGCTCGAAGAGCTCAAGGCACTCAGATCAACTTGATAAGAGCTCCTTCAAGCTCATTTTATAATCTAAGAAATGAGTTTGAATCAAATAAGTAGTTTATTTAATAATTAAACAAGCTTGGACCGAGTTTGGCTCTGTTTTCGAGCTAGTTTAAAAGTGCAATAAAAGTTCAATAGTGAATTAGATATATAATAAAAATTTTACATTTATATTGTTAAACTACATAATTTTGATATTTTCATTATAACCATCCCTTTATTCCAAACACAAATCAAAATCGAGAAGAATATGCCATAAAAAAGAAGAGAAGAAACAGAATTTGTCTTTTTGGAACCTTTGGTTCCTCATTCAAACTGTAGGCTTGCAGAGCTCAGGGCTTGACTCGGCTTGTTGAGACCTGAAGCTATGCGGACTAGAAAATTAAGGATAAAAGCTTGAACAAAATTCAGTACCGAAACCCTAAATTCCAAACAAGGAAGAGAATAAATCATACGAGGAATAAATAGAGGAATAAATCATATGAGCAAGAATATACCATCAAATTCAGTACCGAAACCCTAAATTCCAAACAAGGAAGAGAATAACGCAACCGAGAGCAGACTCCGTACCTGACAAAGCTAATGTGGACACCTAGGCTCCGGTGCACTGCGGAGCAATCGATGCAAAGAAAGATTCCGTACGTCACCGACGCCCACGTCGGATTCTTGGCGTTGCAATCAAAGCACATCTTAAATTCAAAATTTGAGACAAAAATCAACAGTCGAAAACAAATAGATCTCAAATTCGAGGTTCAGATCTCAATGACCTAATCCATTTCAAGAAAATGAAATTTTGATTGAAGAGCAAGACTGGGGAAGAGATCGATCACCTTGTTCTCAGACCGAGATCTGAGCTTCTTAAAGACGGCGTTTTTATCGGGGACGCCATTGGAAGCCATTGGGTTTCAGAGTCTAGGGTTTGAGAGGAGGAGATAGGGAGTGAATCCTCCTCTCAACGAGAATTTTCAGGGGAGAAACGGGAACGAGGGAGCGAAAAAGAGGAGAAGTTGAGAGATCGTTTTACTAATCGGATATTAAATAATAAATGAAGAATGATGATGGCAAATAAACGGTTAAATACAATAGATTAAATAGTTTTATTTTTCCTTAGTCGGCCACAAATGCCCTTGGATTTTCACTTATTTTCAGTACAGCTGGTCAGGGTTAACGGTTAGCGGAGGCGCCCGGTCTGAGCGGCTGCGCTGCTGTTTTATGATGTGGTGTACCTCGCTCTTAACGTGATCCTCAAGGACAGTATCTTGCTGGGGTCGTGCAAGAGCACGTTAATGAATAATTTCACGCGCTATAATAAGTGAGGGAACATTGACTTTGCTTGCGAGCGTGGAAAGGTGACGTTCATGGAAGAGGACATTTAGCGACCGCTTGTTAAGTGCATATTTTACGGTACATTGTTACACAATTTAAGTCTCTCATTATAAACTATTATTTTATATATATAATATATATATATATACTATATATATAGAAAGAAAAATGTGTATGCTGGTGTGAGTTGTTTATATTCCTCTCTCATTTATTTAATTCGCTAACCACTCTTCAACTATGGTAATGTGAGGTCTCGACTATAATGAATGAAGGGAAATATGTCACTCGTCACTACCAAGCACAAAAACTGTGTTCTGGTAGCCCATTACATACTCATCTCTCTCTCATCTCTCTCTCTCTCTCATCTCTTCTCTCTCCGTCTCTCTCTCTCCTCCGTTATATATATATATCATATATATATAATATATATATATTATATTATATTATATATATATATATATAATATATATATATATATATATATATATATATATATATATATATACTAGTATTTAGACCCGTGCAAAGCACGGTTTTTAAATTATATTCTGTAAATATTGATTATGTTAACAAAATTAAGTATGATGTTATAAGTAATTGTAATATTCTATTATAAATTCAGTTTAGTGTAAAAGGGAATTGAAAAAAGTAATTAATATTTGGTTATTATTCGTTTATTAATGATCAAGTTCGAAGCGATACTTCATTTAATACTAAAATATATATTTAAGTATTTGGTTTATAAATAAATAAAATTTAACCAAAGATATGTTTGATTAATTTGTTGTCGTTTATTAATTTGATAAATTTTTCATAAAACTTTAACCAAATATATGTTTGATAGTTTATTAACTATTTTATTCGGTAGTCCAAGAGAGAGAGAGAGGGGAAAGAAAAAGCACTGAAGTCTTTTCATTTCCACATTGTTACTTGAAAATAACAACAAACGCTTTCACCTAATTCCATCCCACCGTGTTCTTAAGTTTTGATGCGATAGGAAAAAAAACAAAAGATTAGATTAATGAAGAGCAAGCCCGATAAACAATTTGATAAGAATATAAGAACCCTTTATTTTTATAAAAATGTGATATTAGAACAGTGCGGATTAGTTATAGCTAGAATCTAGTAGCTGGGTTAGTTTAGTTACATTAATCAAAAAACATGACGTAGAAACTAAAATATTTCGGCACACAAAATGCAAGGCTTGTTAGGATTTTTGATTTTCCCTTTGGAAATTAAGATAAAAAAAAATTTCCATTGGAAATTAAGATGATGAATCTCTATCAGACTGTGGGGTCGTGACTTGGTTTTTTCTTGGACTTGTTCCAAATGCTTATTATGTAAATTTTGTTTTACAAATGATACCCATTATATCTACCTATAAATATCAAAGAGTGGGGTTTTAGCGCTAGGGCATTCTCATTTTCATCTGCCCGCCGCCGCCTCCTTCAGATCTGAGCGATCGAATCCTCTCTCCTCTTTCTTTCCCTCTCCTCCTTCAAAACCGAGTCCAATTGAAGATTAGGGCTTGTGTTTTCATGCTTCTCCATATACTTTTCGTTCACAACTCACCTCAACCTCGTCGTTCTTCGTAGCTCGTCGTCGACTTCGCCTTCGAAGCTCGTCGTCGACTCCTCCCTCTAATCTCGTCGTCCACTCCGCCTTCAAAGGTCGTCGTCGTTGACGGTTTTCGGTAAAGATTTTTTTTAAGATTTGTTGATTTAACCTGTAAAGATTGATAATTCATTCTTTATTGCTGTCACTTTTATCATCTTTCATCTTTCATGCGATAGATCTCGAAGACAAAAGGTTGGTCATGCAGCGTCAGATATTTTTGTCACCAAGGTCTGATCTTTTTAGCCTACTACCTGTCTCATGTGTAATTTTTAGTTTGTTTGTTATTTATGAGTAAAGATTTATTTATGTTTGATTATAGTTTTGTTTATTTTTCCTAAACTGGAAAGATACTAACTTTTTTTAGATTTAACCTTTAAATATTGATAATAACATTCTTTACTGCTCTTACTTTTATCATTTTTCATCTTTCATGTGATAGATCTCGAAGACAGAAGGTAGGTCGTGCAACGTCAGAGTTTTATCACAAAGGTCTGATCTTTTAGCCTATTATCTGTCTCATGTGAAATTTTGAGTTTGTTTGTTAGTTATGAGTAATTATTTATTTTAGTTTGATTATAGTTTTGTTTATTTTTCCTAAACATGAAAGATACTATCTTTTTTAGCCTTTATTGCGTGCGCGCGCACACACACACACATATATATACTTATTTACAAATTTTTAGCTTTTATTGCATGTTAACTGTTTATGGCGGTATGTTTGGTTAGCATTCGTTGACACGAAGACATGCAAATGCAAGTCTTCTAAATTAAATAATTGCATTCATGTACATGGATATTGAAATTAGGGCTAACGTTGTTATCACCAGATTATTTATGCATAATACAAATATTTCCTTGAAATTTTGGTTAGATTTCTTTGTAGAGAAATCTATCAAAGTTGTTCTATATTTTGAAATATGTGTTGATTTTTGTTGTCTAGTTTTTTAGCAGTTTTTATTTTGCAGAATTCAGAATTTGTTCTATATGTTAATGATAAATCATTAATTTTGATTGGCACTTAAATGTTACATCTAAATGTTATGACATGCAGTTTAGCTAATATGTTGTCGAGGATCTGTGCTAAAAAATGAAGTGTTTTTTTTCTTTTTTATTGTTTTTTTTTTTTTTTGTATTGTTTTGTTCTTTATAGTGGCATTTGACCTGTAATAATTGATTGTATGGATTTGTTTTATATTGTTGCAAGTTATGTTTCTTTGTTTAGGCGTCAAAGGCTTCCTCAATGAAAGTTTGCTAGCCAATATATCACAGATGAAATGTTTAATGGAGAATTTGTTACCTTCATTTGAATTTTCGTGTAATAAATGCAGAATTGCAGGAGAATAAGGGAAAAAGAAGCTCTTTGCCTTATCTTTATTTTTTATTTTTTTACTAATGAGTTCTTTGGTATATTTGCATAGTATTCTTTGATCTGTAGACATGCAAATGCAAGACTTCTTGTTAACCCATTTCTTTTTGTTACCTGGGTTTTGAAATTAGGACTAATGTAGTTTTTTCAAGATAATTTGTGCATAATACACTATTTTCCTTGAATTTTTGGTTAGCTTTATGCGTATTCAAATCTATCAAAGTTATTATATATGTTGAATTTTGAGGTGATTTTTGTTGTCTAGATTTGAAGCAGTTTTGATTATTCATAATTTGTTCCATATAATATATATAATAAAGGTAAACTTCGTTAATTCAGAATTTTTTAAATTTTGTATCTTTATTTCCCTTCAACTATGTGGTAATTTATTTATTTATGTTTTAATGTAAGCCACAAACATATATTGCTCTAATTTCACTCAAATTTACTCAAACTTGGAAAAAATGCTACATCTAAATGTTATGACATGCAGTTTAGCTAATATGTTGTCGAGCATCTGTGCTAAAACATGAAGTTTTTATTTCCTTTTGTTTATTTGTATTTTTTTTTTTTTTTGTTTTGTATTGTTTTGTTTTTTATAGTGGCCTTTGACCTGTAATAATTGATTGTATGGATTTATTGTATATTGTTGCAAGTTATGTTTCTTTGTTTAGGCATCAAAGGCTTCCTCAATGAATGTTTGCTAGCCAATCTATCACAGATGAATTGTATAATATAGGAATTTATTACCTTCATTTGAATTTTCTTGTAATAAATGCAGAATTGCAGGAGAATAAGGGAAAAAGAAGCTCTTTGCCTTATCTTTATATAATTTTTTCTAATAATTTAAAGCATAATTCAGTTAAGATGGGTGTATTACAGTAATTATTCTTTTATGTGGTAAATCCGAATAAAATAGATGTATATGCTTGCATTTGACTAAAAATTTTAAGCAAAAAAGGGCTACAATTGTTCTCAATATGTTGGTACCCTTTGTGATGTTTGAGTTTTTGTATTTTAGAAGATAATGTAATTTGAGCAATTTAATATTAAATTAGATCATTTTCATGTTTGGGTGACTTATCTTCTTTTGTGGTTGGAACCAATTTTTTATAATATGATATTTATCTTTTTATTGAATGAATGAAATTTACTTTTTAAAAAGATTGTTTTCATTACTATTTTAGTTTTCAATAAAAAAATGATGCTGGTGTACATTCATTTTAAATGAATATTTATTAAATCATGATATCAAAATATAATAGTTGAATAACAAAACTAATAATAATAAGTTTGCAAATTAAAAGGAGATGAAAACACCACCCTAATGAAGGAACTATTCGTTCAGATTCGATTTGGTTCCAACCCTTATGAAGTAGTAGATGTAGTGGCAATAATGATGTTCATGTTTGTTAATAAATAAATAAAAAGAAGCATGACCTATAAAAATACGAAATGTTAACATAATTAGATTTTCTACTCATAAGTCACACATATTAGTAATATAGATTGCAAATATATACATCACTGGTTGTTATCTCCATTTTTTCTTTTTTTCGTTGAGTAGGTTTTCATCCTTTTAATGTCACGATTCCAGGTGCCAAGATTCATTTCAGTCTAGTGCATCATTCTCTCGCTTCCTCTTGTTATCTGCATATAAGAAACATAAGAAATAATTTAATAACTTAATAGTTTTAATACTCATGCATTGGTTTTGCTCTTATGTAAGCATTTGGATTACAATATATTATAATTATAATAATTATAATGAACAATAAGTTGACATCACCTTGCACTTGATGTATTTTAGATGAACGTGCTTTCTGCTCATTTGATTCTTCATCCATATTTACTATTTTCAGCGGTGTTTTGTTGTAAACTTTCTCTGATTTTATATCCAATAATGGTGCATGCATAGGTGTGACTACAGATTTAGCAGATGTTGTTGGTTGCGGAGTCGGTGGAGGCGCATCCTCAAGTAAATTAATGATCGATGCATCTACAGATTCCTATATTTATAGGTACGTGCTTTACAAACTTGTTATCATATAAATAAATAAATATGTTGAAAATTGTTACCTGACTTGTAGAGTTAAATTCAATTTCCCCTGAACTGTCTGAAGTTTCCTCTATTACTTTGTTTATTGTGAATCCTTCATTACCTTCCACGAAATTATATCGCGTTAGTTTTACCTGAACCTTGATACATTTTCCAGATATGGCTTTTATCACTTTTGGGAAAACTTCTCTACCATTAACCTGATCAATGAATAATTATATTTTAGGCACATACTGAATGTGTTTTAAAATGAGTTTGAAAATATTTTAAGAGGAAGATGTACTCACATATTTTATTGTTCGTGCAACCTCTTGAGCCGGTATTTTCACCAATTTTTCAACTTCCTTGTTCATAACAATGAAAGTAGTTTTTGCAGATTCATCTTGAACTTCCATAGTTATCCTATAGCTGTATATTTTTTTTTCAAAACATTGATTATCAAAGTCATTTTGTGGTATGTATATGCGGATCATATTTAAAATTTGTACATACCTATTTTCTGCAAATACCTCTATGTCACACTTTGCACACCAAAATGTATCTCCCGCATCAATTGTTTTTTTAAAACAATTTGGACATCCGCGATAACGCCATTTTTTGTTATCCATTACGGTATTGATTCTCACATTGCATATAAAGAAATATTCCTTTAAATTACAAACATGAATATTAGCTATTGAACATATAATAAGTTCGCATAAATGATGGGACTAATTTTAAAATCTTTATTACCTCAGCGGTTTCTGGATCATTGAATAAAATAAGATCGCTCAAAGATGCAGATGGGGTTTCGAGCAATTTCTGCTTTGATTTGTAATTAATTGGTGTCTCTATTAGCTGCATCTGTGTTTCCGACTCCATGTACCTATGTATATATGCTCAGAAATCATGTCAGTACATATATAATTTAATTACGTCTGTCAAAAATATATAGATACTAAAATTACCTCTGAGATAATTCCAGTACTCTTTGTTCAGGTATGTTCACGTAGATTTTGGTCGTCGTGCTTGATGACACAGAATTATTGCCTGAAATTTTATGTGCAAAGTTATGCGTAAAGTATCCTCTTTACTTATGTATTGATGAAAGTAATTATTTATGGCATGTATAATTGTTCATCTTACCTCTAAAATTAGTAACAAAGATTCCACTGACCACCATAACCATGTTGTTTGGATCTTGATCTTTCAGTATGCTCTCTAGATTTGTAGCAATTTTGTTCCATAAAGTAACATTGCATTCTATGTTTCTGATTTGTATAAAAGATACTAAGTTTTAGGGTCAAGCATAAGTAAATACAATTAACATTTGGATTAGTTGATGTATAAGATAACTCACTCTTCATCGATTAGTTTTAAGGCTCTCCTAGTCCCTGGCTTTCCAGAAATAATAGTTTGCTCCAAGGGGTATATATCTTTTACAAACCCAATTATATCTGTATTGAAAATAAAATAAGCAAACATAAGAGACATAAGTTATATTAAGTTTGTCGCATAATCTGTAGTTAACTATATCATGATACAAAAATTATAATAAAACCTGACTTGACAGATAAGTCTTGTTTCCTTTCATTCTATAAAGCTCATTGAATGGTTTATAGTTGAACTTGTACATAGGGATATTGTCATTGTCTTCCTGTAGTACTTGAACTTGTGTCATACGGCAAAAACATATTGAAAATTTATTCTCAGTTGCCCTATAATTGCCAAAGGAATTCATAACTCTGAACTTAGAGATGACATGTATCCTTCCTTCATCTATCATTGGTTGAAACATTGATATTTCAGTTGTTTTAATGCTACAGTGAATGTGTGTATCCTGTAAAAATTGAAAATAATTGTCTCATTTCAAAAATATATAGATCTTGATAGTACATAGATATTGATATTTTATAACTATAAGATATCCTTTTGTATAAAAAGTTTCAGAAGGAATGTAAATCTGTCTTACACTTTCATCCAAAAGAGTAAGTAGTAGTCCATAATTTTGAAGGGATATGACATTTATATTTTCCCATATGCTTGTCACTCGAGCTTTAATGACTGGTTCTTTTACTCTCGTGTTCAGATCCTTTATCGCTGTGTATTTAGAAATACTCATTCTTCTTGTCCTTCACCTGCACATATAATTTCATTAAATATTTATGCTTCAACATCCCACTTAAACTGTCAATGAATCATTTTGAATGAAACTAATGAAACGAACAACGATTTAATGCAATTATATTATAGATAACAATAAAGATATATATGATATACCTTCTACCAAGTTGTTGAATATTTCTCTATACACTACATTCTCTATTACACTTTCAGTGTTCATTTCACTATTTTCAATGAGAATTTTTAGACCTTTTGGTGATGTCACTCTTGAAATAGCAACATATAGTTGACCATGTGTGAAAACGGGTTTTGGTAGATACAGACCAACATGCTGTAGTGTTTGTCCCTGACTTTTATTTATGGTCATTGCATAACATGGTCTAATAGGTAATTGTCTTCTTTTCATGCGAAATGTTGACTTTGAATCCGTATTTGTTGTTACGGTTCTTGAGATAAAATGTTTTGATCCAATGTTGCTTCCACTTCGACTTTGAATCCGTATTTGTTGTTACGGTTCTTGAGATAAAATGTTTTGATCCAATGTTGCTTCCACTTATAATTTTTGCCTCAATTACCCATTTTAGCAATTGGGTGACGATCAACCGTGTCCCGTTGCATAAGCCTTCAGTTGGATTCAAGTTGCGTAGAAGCATGATAGGTGTCCCGACTTTAAATTCCTGGAAATTTAAGCGAATTCAGGTACTCGGTTGGAAAGTTGACCTCATTTTCTTGCATGTTAGGAGATGTTAGGCAAAGTGAATCAGAACTAAGATAAAATGAAATTTGTCCCTCAATTTTTTCCAGGATTGTATTGTTGACAATATCTACAATTTCATTCCTTGGTGTTAATATTGCTCTTTCTTCTAGATATGTAGGGTTTTCAAAGTTTTCATCTATGTTTGGGTAAGTAGATGAAATAATATCCTCAACTAGATTTTTAGTTGGGTGAAGGATAAACTCGCGTGGAATATCAATAGTTCCATCCGTATTTTGCGATTCGCAACACTCTTCTTTAGCACTGCCATTTCCAATATTTAGAACCCATCTACTAAATTCTGGTATGCTCATTTCATTCTCATTTGATAAACTTTGTTGAATTCTCATATTCTCTGTCAATTTGTATATTTTGCATTCACTCCAAAGTTTGGATCGGCTAATGGAAGCATGAATAATATCATGTTTACTACCTCCTGGAATAACTGGTAAAATTTGTCTAAAATCACCACCAAGCACCACAGTCAAGCCTCCGAATGGTTTCTCTGACAACGTAGGATTGTCTTTACCTAATATATCTTTCAAATGCATGTCTATGCATCATTGGTGCCTCATCCCAAAGTATTAAAGCTGTTTGTTTTAGCAAATTTGTTTCAGGTGTTCCTTGTTTAATACCACATGTAGATGTTTCTTTCAGTTTAATAGGAATCTGGAACCTTGAATGTGTTGTTCTCCCTCTAGGTAAAAGAAGAGCAGCAATACCCGATGATGCCACTGCTATTACTATTTTCCCCTCGGATCTAAGTCTAGTGATAATTGACTTCCAAACATAAGTCTTTCCTGTCCCACCATATCCGTAGAGAAAGAAAAATCCTCCTGTTTTACTATCTACAGAGTGAATCACAACATCATATAATTTTTTTTGCTTCTCATTGAGACCCTGAAACAACTGTTCATGCTCACTTCTCAATTCTTCTCTATCATAGTTAAACTCTTTACTTATAATCTTCTCCTTACATTGTTGCATTAAAACTGGATCAGGAAGTGGCATACCTTGAAAATTCTGAAGACATTGACCATTTTGTAGTAGGAGATATTGTATTTCTGCCAATGCATGGCTTTGCAATTGATTTTTTGTCATTTTTAAATTTGGGTACTGTAGTAGATTAATTTGAGCTTCAAGAATACCCTCTGATAAATACACCCAATTATCTTCCCATAGCTTTTTATGATTGATAATTTCACAAAACAAAAGGATTTGTGCAAATAAATGTCTCATTTGTCTCCCTGGCGAAAAATAAGATGCTTCCTCTATGACTAATTGTCATTCATTGTCATCATCCAACAATCTTAGAGCAACACATGTCTCTTTAAAGGTTTCATACTGAATTCCATCTTTGTTTTTTATATCTGCATAGCTTGTAGGACCTCTCACTACATTTAGTAATAAACGGAGATAAAATCTTTCACCCGAAGAAGGATGGGCGTAAACCAATCGACCAACACTGCCCCTTCTCTCTTGGTTTCCATCTTCTCTCATCTGTCTTCCATACAAATTTAGTTGGTAATTCAGCATATGTGAGATTTTTTGCCTCTGATAAAGTTTGTTTGCTTCCATCCACCCATTGAACTTGGTTTGCTTTGATCCAATATCATTCAAAATGTCATTTAGATTATCATTATCTTTAAAAATAATTGATTCCTGATCCGGGAGATGAAATGGTAGCCTCTCTACTGCTGGAGTTCTGTAATGAATATCAAATCCAAATATCCTCCATATGGCTTCCGGTGCTGAGACATATCTACAATCAAGATAGTGTTGTATCTCATGTCGGTTTAATTCTTTAACTTTTGAGGATCTATCATTGTTTTCCTTGTGGATAGAAACAGAAACATGATCTGGTCCTTTTGTGACATACTTAAACAAATATTTGATTGATCTTCCTCTGTTACACCACTCTACGTTAATGTGAGATTGATATTTAACAATCAAGTACCGGTTGTACGGTACGACATAACCATTATCTAATCTTGTTCCAATTTTCTCTATCCATTTACTATTATCCTCCCTTCTTCGGTAAATAGGAAATCCTCCATCATCAATAATTGTCTCAGAATTGTATTTTTTAGGAAACCTCTTTGAACATTTTTGATGCTTCATACATGATGAATATGAAGACGTACTTCCACATGGTCCATGCATCATATATTGAGCAACTGCTGCATACCCAATTGGATCTTCTTTCTCATCCGGGATCTCAGCACTAATGATCTTATTAATCAAAGTAGGTGTTAGATATTTGTTACCCTCATGAAGCCATAGCAAGATATGCGCATGTGGCAGTCCACGTTTCTGAAATTCTATCGTATATACAGCTGCAAATTAATTTTTGATAAACTATGTTAGAGACTGCATGCAATTCATGTTGGAATATTTTGTAATAGATAGATTATTTCTTTGGTAGATATATGCATGGTGGAGAAAGTGAGTTATAACATCTGATTCTAATTATAGCATGTATTATGACTAATTTTAGTTACATGTAAACTACTAAACAGATTGTTCGTATATATCATTCTTGTTGTCAAACTTCAATTTTTTAATATAAGTAAGTCTTAAATTTACTTAAGCGCACTGGTACAAACATACATTACTTGCATGTGTACATAATTGTGTTGTTTTGATTTGTTTTCATCTTTTGAAATTAAACATGCAATCAGTTTCATAATGAGTATGTACACAAATAAGTTTATAACTATGACAAAGATTTGTAATTAGAATGTACATTTAATTGAGTGTTCGTATAACTATAAGCTATTAACCAACTGCCTAATACAAAGTTTAGTTTTATTTCTATACATCTATTTCAGTCCACGTTTCTAAAATTCTATTGTATATACAGCTGCAAATGAATTTTTGATAAACTATGTTATAGATTGCATGCAATTCATGTTGGAATATTTTGTAATAGATAGATTATTTCTTTGGTGGATATATGCATGTTGGAGAAAGTGAGTTATAATACCTGATTCTAATTGTAGCATGTATTAAGACAATTTATAGTCACATGTAAACTACTAAACAGATTGTTTGTATATTTTTTAATATAAGTAATAAGTAAGTCTTAAATTTACTTATAAGCACTGGTACAAACATACATTACATACATGTGTAAATAATTGTGTTTGCTTGATTTGTTTTCATCTTTTGAAATTACACATGCAATCAGTTTCATAATGAGTTTGTACACATCAGTTTATAACTATGACACAGATTTGTAATTAGAATGTACATTTAATTGAGTGTTCCGTTGTAACTAAAAGCTATTAACCAACTTCCTTATACAAAGTTTAGTCTTATTTCTATACATCTATTTCAGTCCATAATTCTGAAATTCTATTGTATATACAGCTGCAAATGAATTTTTGATAAACTATGTTAGAGATTGCATGCAATTCATGTTGGAATATTTTGTAATAGATAGATTAATTATTTGGTAGATATATGCATGGTGGAGATAGTGAGTTATAATATCTGATTCTAATTATAGCATGTATTATGACAATTTATATTCACATGTAAACTACTAAACAGATTGTTTGTATATTATCATTCTTGTTGTCAAACTTCAATTTTTGTAATATAATTAAGTCTTAAATTTACTTAAAAGCACTGGTACAAACATACATTACATACATGTGTAAAAATAATTGTGTTGGCTTGCTTTGTTTTCATCTTTTGAAATTACACAATAGTTTCATAATGAGTATGTACACACATCATTTTATAATTATGACACAGATTTGTAATTAGAATCCATATTTAATTGAGTTTTCGTGTAATTATAAGCTATTAACATACTGTCTAATACAAATTTTAGTCTTATTTCTATACATGTATTAGTTTAAACCACTATAACCACCTGGTTAAATAAATGATACATGTATGTGAAAATAAATAATAGGTGAGTATATCGAATACACTGGAAAAAAACTTGTGATGTAAACACGCCTAAAACAAATGATCAAAGGATTGTGTTTAAAAATGTGAAACAATATAGTTCTGAAAGGTGAGCTTATAGCTAATGATACATATTTGTTCATTTTTTTATTGAAAATTCTACCAACGCTTCCTAAACATTAGTCTTGTAACCTCTTTTGCAGCTCTCTCTGATAGTTCACCCTGATAAATGCAAGCATCCTCAAGCGAAGGAGGCCTTTGTTGGTAACTTTTTTGGTTACTTATTATCTGGATTTGAACTACTTAAACTTCTTTTGGTTGTATCTTCTTGTTGTTTAGAGAAGTGGTAGGGCAAATTATATAGCAATTTTATACGTATCACATTCAATAGTGTCATAGTTAAAATATGGTAGGGTTAACAAATGAATACATCTTCTTTCTCATCTTCTAACTTATTATCATTTAGTCGGTCAGATAAAATTCGATCATCATTTTTGTCTGTGTTATGTTTAGTTTCATATTTCTTCATCTGTACTTCATGAATTTGACCTTGCTTAATAATTTCATTAACTTGAACTTTATATGTTATTTTCAATTTAGTAAAATAATTTGCTCTCTGAAAGAATTTTGTTCTTGTTTATATATCATAGGTTATAAATTTGTCCTTGTTTTGACATAATTTTGCTACAAATTATGCTAGAATATTAGTTAGTTCTTGCCTATATCTTTCATATAATGCCTATATCTTTCATGTAATGTTGTATATTTCATGTAATGCTTATATATCTTTAATGTATATGTTACAGCGCTGATTATGAGTAGTTTTATCTTCTATTTTCTATAATATATACAATATATTTGAAGCAAGGAAGATGCTGAAAAGGATTCAATTTGAAGCAAAAAAGTATTATGCGCCAGCCAAAAGATAATTTAAAAAAAACTTGGATATGAACTTACATACTATAAGCGAACTATGCATTCTATTGTCTTGATATGTTTATAAAAACTTTCAAATAACATTCGTTATCATTGTCTAAAGTAGGATAATCTTATGTATGAGTGTATACATCTTGATTCATTCATGTTAATATAATCAACAGCTAAGTGAATGTTCATAAATTGAAAATGATAATGTGTGCATGTACATGTGTGTCAACTTGAGATACTAAATTGTGAAATAAAGTTTGACATAAGTTTTTGTTTGCTAATGATCATATGTCAGAATTGCACCTGAGGGTATATATATCACTCAATTTATGACAATGATAAAATCTATAAACATGTACAAGTACTCTATAAATTAACGCCATTAAATTTTGACTGTCATGTTAGCTATTTATGCAAATGTACATATACTATTCATAATTTTTATATATAAATATTGTTGTGAATAATGATTAAATTTTTTGCATAGTGTAAAATGTGAAATTAACGTACCGCCAACACATTTTCCAAAATGATAATTTTTTTGAAGGTCCTCCATTAGCTGGTCAAGTTTGATTTTGAAGACTCTTGCTACAATATCTGGCCTCTCGTCTGATCTTTGTCCTCCCATTTCTTCTAACGTAGCTTTGATTTCTAGCCACCTTGGATTTGCTGTCATTGTTATAAAAAGATCCAGATTACCCATAACACGACATAGAGATATTGCATCTTGATAATTTTGATTCATATAACGTGGATCCCCTGTGAAAGAAGATGGCAATACAATCCTTTGTCCAACTTGAGATCCTTCTGTATCTCCTCTAAAAACAGCATCCTTTATTCCACAGTATAATTCAGCTCTAATTTTGGTTTGATTTTGTTTAACCCAGTGAAGCCTATCTTCTTCAATGCATGTAAACAGATCAACAATATAGGTTTGGAATAATTTCCCAGAGTAAAGTAATGTCTTGCCTTCACTATGACACTGTTGTATACGAAAAGCAGCATATTCCCTCATTGTCACATCTTTTCTTTTTTTCAAATTGTTATTTGATGCTTCCAATAACTTTACTCCCAGCCTATAGCCATCCTCTCCATAAGGAAAAAGCAATGGGTATTGCATTGCCATGAAGCAGGGGTGTAGGTCACTGATTCTTGACAATCCTAACTTGCGATCATCGACAACAATATCTCGAATGCCTATTGTTTCTTCAACATTTCCCACAATCAGTCCTGCAATTTCTGATGCAGATGGCATATTTTGTTCCCTCCCATCACCACTCCTTGATGCCATGATCACCAATCTAACTGTCATTAATTCATCTTCATTAATTCTATCTCGTACCATGCGGAAGCTTTTGACTAATACATTGTTGAGATCTAACATTTCAAGTAGTCCCTTGACAATATCCTCATCTAGTTTGTTGGTACTTTTGATAGATATCATCCTGTTTTTTATTTTATTTTCAGTATCATATATGTATAATTGACAAAATTTTGAAGTTGTTCCAGGTACAGGTTTCAAAGAACCTATACGATGATGATTTTGACCATTCAGACAGAAACAATATGGTCCTCCACCATTATTGTAAGTATTATCAATATTTCCTCCCGAGGATGTAAAAGCAAACATACTGTTATAGGATCTGATATTTTCCTTAAATTTATTACTTTGTCTGCTTACACCTGGGTATAAAAGTTCTCGAAGAAAACTGGGAGGTTCTTTTAAAAGAGGGAACTTTATTTTCCCTTTGCCACAACAAAGAGAGAAGGAAGGCTTCTTTGGTTTCCAAGATTTTTCTGCTCTTTCCTCATACCATAGCATAGCTTGGCAATATTCACATATAACTTTGGGTGGTCCAAAATTTTGTACCTTATTTTGGTCAACTGCAATTCAATAAGAATAGCATTTTAATTAGTAACATTACACATATTCATACATTCATACAAAATTAAATATTTGAAGAGTTGCAATTCAGTAAAATGTATGAAATAACTTGATTTTTAACAATAAAGTCCCTCTGTTTGAAAATGTAATTAACTTCATAGTTCATTTTATTATCAAAGAATGGGTTCACCTTCAAAAGCAAGGTTGAATAATTAATTATTAATAATTAATAAAATTAACATTATAGGAGCATTATTACCTACTGTACAGGTTAATTTAAGCTTATAAATTACATGTTTTCTTACTTGTCATATGCTCATTTGTAGCGCCAACGGTTGCATTGATGATATTAGGTATGATTCTTGGTCTTTTATACTGCCGCGATTTTACACTTTTGACATTCACTTTATTATCAACAATTATATGATCATGCCGTTGTTGTTCAGGCTCAAGGATGTTATTCTGAGTAGGATAATTAATGTTGATTTCTCATCTTCCGTTTGATCCGTCTCAGTGTCAAATCCCTTGGTTTAGAAAGCCAAGAACCTGTTCACATATGCAAAATGTTAGACATAAGTACAAATATTCTAACTTAATGCAACTATAATTCATCAGATTTGCATATTTTTGTAGTTACCTTGAGATGAACTCTGTTGACCTTCTTCCATGTTTGATGGAGTTGTTAGGGAGTGTGCATTTCTGTTATATGTAGCGTAGCCCTCTTGGGTAACCTGTTTGTGGTATGCTATGGAGCTAACAGAAATTCATGTCGTTTACTTGGAGGTTTGTATTTCATCTCATAAAATTAACAGGAACTTGTTGTTTTATCTCTTTAAATTATATGGAATTTATTTCAGAAGCCCCTAATTATACTGTTAACAGCTCTGTATGAATACTTTCTCTCTATGAGTTGCAGTTGTAAGCAAGCTTAATAATCAAATTGCTAGCTGGGATACCAAATTAGAAATGGGTACTAAGGTGATATTAATATTGCCCTTTTCATCTATTGTTGTCGCTGCTGATAAAAATGAAAGAATCAGGTGAATGAAGATATATACTTCAACATTATTAAGCTTTTCATCAGCATTAAAAGTGAAGCTTGAATGTAAATATTTGAAAGCTTGCCTTAAAGAGTGGTTGTTTCATCACCTTCTCATCCAAAAGTTTATTCGTCCAGTCACCCCCTTCAATATGGTGCATAGATTCAACTCAAGAGGTAAGTTCTATTCCCTTTTCGAAATATGTGGTTTAATTTTAGCTTTTTCTCCTCTCCTATCTCTTATATTTTTATTTCTTAATGGATCAGTTGTAGTTGCTCAAAACCAATGTAAACTCAAATTTTTTAAAAAGGCAATGTGGATTATTTGGTTTTTTTTCTCCTCCCCTTTTCTTGAATTTTTATTTAAAATTGGATCAGGGCTAGTTGCTCAGTACCAATGTAAACCAAGGTGGATTAATTGAATTTTTTACTCTCCTTTCTCTTCTATTTTCATTTCACATTGGATTTGATCAGGGTAAGTTGCTCAAAACCAATGTAAACTCAATTTTTATTCAAAATTAATGTGGATTAATTGATTTTTTTTATCCTCATTTCTCTTAAATTTTTAATTCACATCTTCAATATTTTTGTATTCATTAACCATGGGCAGTTGCTCAAAACCAATGTAAACTCTATTTTCAAAACCAATGTAAACTCAATTTTGATTAGACATTTTAAGAATTACTTGAGCATTCATGGCGTTTACTTGGAGGCTTGTATTTCATCACATAAAATTAACAGGAACTTGTTGTTTTATCTCTTTATTAAATTATATGGAATTTATTTCAGAAGCCCCTAATTATACTGTTAATAGAAACATGTAATTGAGCATTTTTTCATTTTTCTTCATGGTAATCTATTCAATTTCCCAAGATTTATTAGTTTGTAACATCAATCATCAATCAATAACATCAATCAATTAGAGGAAAATTAGGATTAAATTTAATAATAAAATTTGGCAGCAACATGTAATTGAGTTATTTTCAAAAAAACTAAAATAAAGTTCATAAGCTAACACCTATCAATCAATCAATGAAAACTAAAATGATTAGAAATCTTACCTTCACCTTGTTCTCTTTGTTGTAAACAATTTAATGCGAATAAACTTTTGCAGCATGAGACAGTAGATTGGAGTTGGGAAACAGATTAGCATTTACAGAAGAACAGGAGATGTGGAGACGTGGAGATGTGGGAGATAGGAGATGGTTATTTTTGGAGTGGGTGTTGTACTTAACGTGGGCATAAACGTGGGCACAAACAACATTTGAATTAACAGTCTGTTTGTAACATCAGATTATATTTTTTTGGTTGTTTTGGAGTGTTGGTTGTGTGGATCGTGTGCATAAACGTGGGTAAAAGCAGTTATTTAACAATAACAGATTATTTTGTAACATCAGAAGGGCTTTTTTGTAACTTTGTTTTGTTAAACGTTAGCATAAACATTGTTAATTTAAAAACCTTATTCAGTCTGTTTGTAACATCAAATTAAATTTTTTTGGTGGTTTTGGAGTGTTGGTTGTGTGGATCGTGTGCATAAACGTGGGTAAAAGCAGTTATTTAACAGTAGCAGTTTAATTTGTAACATCAGAAGGGCTTTTTTGTAATTTTGTTTTGTTAAACGTTAGTGTAGGCTGTCTAAAAATCACAATAGATAGCTGATTCCTCATCAAACACCGATGATGGAAGTTACAATCTGACGACTTCCAAAAAACTACAATTTGAAGACTTTCACGTTGATCGATGAAGGTTACAATCTGACGACCTTCATAACAACTGATGAAAGCTCCAATCAACAGCCTTCACAATCAATATTGGGAGTTATAATCTGACAACTCTCACATATCAAAGAGCTAAAGCAAAGATTACAAAATGACGATCTTTGCAACGATTTGACAGAAAGAGACTACAAATCGACGGTCTCTTCAAATCAAAACGCGAAAGTCCTCCCCGCATACCAGCATCAAGACGCACCGCGTTCACAGCTGCTGACGCAGTGCAAACGTAGCTCACATTCAGCTCCAAACGCAGCTCAGACCCAGCTGCCAACGTAGCTCATGTTCGGCCACAAGCGCAACTTCCATCCGCTGCCCAACGCAGCTTCTATCAGCTGCCAAACGCAGCTCTTAAATCCTGCCAACGCAGCTTTCATCCGCTGCCAAACACAGCTTCCAAGCTGTCAAACGCAGCTTCCAATAAGATGCCAACACAGCTTCCAAGTGCTACAAACGCAGCTTTCAGACGCTGCAAACGAGCTTCCAGACGCTGCGTTTGAATACAGAATTCACGTCAGAATACGGATTTTGCGTTTGACTTGTTCAAATACGAGCTGAACGGTTTCAAAACCGTTTCTCACGATCTGAGGGGATCACAACTCCACTCAGGAGTGATTTAAGGGGCGGTTACATCCCATTAGCCCCACTTAGGAGCGAATTAAGGAGGTGGTTACACTCCTTAATCCCCTATAAATAACTAAGAAATCAGCTTAGTTCAGGGGAGATCTTTCATCCTTCTCTGGGGCAACAAAGAAGAGATCCTGGACTTGTCTAACCAATTATGGTTAAGATCAATCAACTCATCAAGAGTTTCAAACTCGTTCAGAGTTCTCCACAACGTCAAATCGTGAGGAGAAGATATCGTTCCAGTGAATCAAGATGTTCGGATCGTCAACGGAGAGCAAATTTGACGCGAGCATTCGAAGGAGGCACTCCATCGCCACCGTGAAGAACCCAGAATTAAACAAAGGGGAGAATTCAGATTATTCTCCTCTCTTTTGTAATCAGGAAATCCAATTGTAATTGAGATTAAAGGAATACAAATTAATTTTCCTTCATTTCTTTTTACTGCAAATTTTCCACCAAACAAAAGATGGCGACTCCGCTGGGGACAAGCTTCTCTGACGAAGAAGTGGTGGCGCAATCCGATGTTCATCTCACTGGAACGACGGTTGAAACTCTCGTCGTAGAGTTCAATCAAGCCAAGTACGAGGAAGCCCTCTCCTCCGGATCCCTTAGCCCCAAGGCTATGCGCAAGATCCACAAAGTCTCCAAAGAGACTAAAGGTCTAACTGCTCCAATTGTAGCCAAATCACCCAAGGAGGCCCTCCCCTTCGATCAAGACTGCTCGAACAGCCCCTCCTCTGAAGGAGTGGACTTTGCTTCTGCTAAACTCGTTCAACGAGTTGAAAGTTCTATACCCACGTCTTCACAGCGGGTATTGGGTCATAAAAGGCCCATTGTAGCGAAGAGTTCCATCAACGCCAACAACCTCGTTGCAAAGGCCTTGAAAAAGGCCAAGAAGAACGTCGCTCGACGAAGGAGGAGATCCCTACGACGAGCACATCTCCGTGAATGCCGATCTTCAAGTCAACACGAGCTTCGTGTTTGTGAGCCTAAACGCGACCAGGTGCTCTACGTTTCTGCTTCAGAACGCAAGCCTCGCGTCTATGAGCCCAAACATAGGCTTTGTGTGAATAAGACTGAATGCAGCCCTCAGTGGTGCATTGTACAGTCAAAACACAGCCTTCAGGAGTGTGTTCCATTAATTGAACGCAACTCTCAGGCATGCGTTTCAGAACCAAAAAGCAGATCTCGGGACTGCGTTTTACCAGCAAAACCTGAATCTCGGGGCGGATATAAGAAGTCTTTGGATTCAAGGCATCTCAACCATATCCATGCTCACCAGGAGCCAGTCCCGTCCAATCATGGACTGGGGGTTCTAATTCAAACCTCACGATCAGTGAGTAGTTCTCCTCGAATCTTCACAACAGATTTGAGAAAGTTCATATCGAGAGAAAGACCAATGCAACAAGTCATTCGTTCATTCCAATGTGAACGACTGATTCCTACGGTCCTCTCGGGATGTCAATGCTGCTCATATGCGGCCAAACTGTTGGTGTTCGACCAATTTACGAACGTTGCTTTGCCCAACCAATGACGACGTTCTCACAGGAAGAAGTCTCCAGAGACCGAATATCCTGGGGTCACTATCAATGTGACCGGCAGAGGGAAAGACTCGGGTCCTAGTTCCGATGACTCTGAGACAAGTCGTTCACCGACCGTCAGAGAAATCGCTAACGAGTTTGAAGGAGTCTACCAACGCACTCGAACGCGAACAGGAGCCATTCTCCCTGTCAACTATCGGAGGCTAGCCAGAGGAACCAATTCCGTTGATGAACACTCAGTCATTCCAGAGTCCCAATCATCAAGCTCTTTTGTTGAACATGAGAGCTCCGCTTATATGACGGAAAACCATGAAGATCTCGCGAAGAGACTTGATGAGCAGGAGGCCATGCTTAAATCTCAGCAGGAGGCCATCAATGAACTCATGGCCCTGTTGACTCAACTCGTCGCAGACAAGGCCAAATCTCAGAAGACAGATTCGCCACCTAGGCAAGAATCTTCCCGTAGAAAAAAAGTGTCTTCATCCCGACTTTACACAAGCAAAGGGAAGGGGAAAATGGTTGATGACACGGCTTCTGACCAAGAAGCACATAACCTGGAATCTTCCTCTGATGAAGGAAGAGAGACGGAGAACGAGTAGAATCTCCAGTCTGTCAAAATGAAAGAATTGGAAGCCGGCCTAAATGCCATTGCTAACAGAAGCGAGCTCCAAGACGAGAGAGTTTCCAAG